CAATCCTGAAAGATTTGTATGGGTGGTGAATGAGGGGCATGTGGCATTGTGAAGAGGCCGCGTGTGCTTGGGGCTATTGTGTGTGCTAGTTGTGTGGTTTCTGGGTTGTTTTGCATAGAGTTGTGCAGTGGCATATGAGTAATGTGTGTTGTCGTGAGGGGTCTAGGACTATGTATGCTGGTAGTGTTAGTTTCTGTCTAGGGAGGGCTGTGTTGGGAAATTCCTGCAGGGGGCAGTTAGACTAAGCATTCTACCATCTGTGCAGTTGTCCTTATAAGAGCAACGAAAGTGTTGCGTGCAAATTAGCTGTAGTTAGGCTGAGTTTTCTAGGACTCTTGCTATGGCACACTTACATGCCTTACTGTAGATGCACACCATACACGTGTACTGACATTTGTAAAGTTAAAATGACTGAGAACTTAAATATTGGACAGGAACACACTACAAAACCCAGCAATGAATCAACCGGTGATACGCTGAACATGCTTGTATCTGCTTCCTTTACTGCATGCTGGTTTTACAGATCTTTTAGGCTTCTAAGTGACACACAGCGACATTGCTGGGATCTCTCAGATCAATTACAATAATTTTATATGCTTTAAAAAGGTTACATACAAGAGTCTGTCTTGGGCTTTTAAGTGTTAAGTTCATTTTCTTTTTGGGGATTTCATGGAAATCCAGGCAGATGTACCCTAAGGTAATCATCTAAACTACATCCCTTATTCTATTAAGGGATGTAAATTAGACATTGAAATTGTAAATGAAGCCAGGATTTGAATTTCCTGTGCGTTATTTGCATAATGGCAGCTGTGGCTTTTTTTCGGGGAAAAAAACCCTGCAGCCAAGACAGGGATCTTTCAACAGAAATGCCCAGTTTCTAAAAATCCTTATTTTTTGAGGGTTACAGGATCTTTCAAAACGGGGCATTTCTGTGGAAAGATCACCATCGTCACCGTGTTTTTTTCTGAAAAGCCACTTTTTGAAAAAGCCGTGGCCGCCATTATGCAAATGAAGTGTGGGAAATTCAAATCCCAGCTTCATTTACAATTTCGATTCGTCTAATTTACGTGCCTTTATCGAAAAACGGATGTAGTTTAGATGAACCCTTAGGCTGTGTCTAGGCCACTTATTCCAGAAAATCAGCCGCTTTTCTGGAATAAGCTGCGAGCTGTCTACACTGGCCCTTGAATTTTCGGAAAAGCAACGATGCTCTACTGTACAAAATCAGCCGCTATTCCGGAAAAACTATTGTGCTCCCACTCGAGCATAAGTCCTTATTCCGGAACACTGTTCCGGAAAAGGGCCAGTGAAGAAAGCCCAGTAGTCTTTTCCGGAAAAAAGCCCCGATCGCGAAAATGGCTTTTCCGGAAAAGCAGCCTGCCAATGTAGACGCTCCTTTTCCGGAAAAACTGAAAACGGAATAGTATTCCGTTTTAAGCAGTTCCGGAAATTCATGCCAGTGTAGACACAGCCTTAGAGTACAAGAGACAGCTCAGTAACATTTGGATTCCTTGGTACACTAGACGTTTATCATCTCTAAACATTTCCCGATGTTGCTCTAAATCATATCTAATGCCAAATTGGGAGAAGCTAATTCAGGAGATTCCAGGACAAATAAGAGATTCTCAGTGGATTAAAACTCATTCCCTTTGAGTACAAAAAAAGTTAATGAAACTGGAATGGGCCAAGACTAAATCTCTACTTCAGAGAATGTATGTGCCTTTCTGAAGGGTGATTTCTGAAATCTATCTGCATGAGCAGGGCTCGACAATCTATGTAATCTACTCGCCCATGCAGAACGCCAGACAGCGCGGCTGGTGAGCAGGGCTCGCCATGGCTCAGTGAGCCCTGTGCATGAGTGTCTTAAAAAATTCTGGAGTCCTGTGGCACCTTAGAGAGACTAACAGATTTATTAGGGCATAAGCTTTTGTGGGTAAAATCCACTTCATCAGATGAATTGGAAACCAGGACTCCTCGTTTTTGCAGATACAGACTAACATAGCAACCCACCTTTGAGACTTAAAAGATGCAGAGCAAGATATACGATATTTTGCCAATTTAGACAATCCATTACATATCAAACAGCAAGTTATTCTCCAGATTGCCTGAGAAGAATCCTAGACTTCAGTTTCCCACACCCACATGAATCTTCAGCAATCTACAAACACACAAGCCGTCCTAATATACAGCTAAGATACTAAATGTAAACAGCAGCACACCCCCAGAGAGCTGCTTATAAAACATGGGAAAACTGCAAACATATAGTTTTGAATGGCATGATATGTAGAATCAACATTCTGAAGCACAAAGGGTGCAAGTCTAAAGGAAATGCTTAAAAATCCCACATGCTATAAAAATGTATTGAAGTCCAGCTATGCTGGGAAATGCACAAAACAGGAGGTGACCCACGTAGGATCTGGACATGTTCCACCTTAATTTCTGGAAATATACTAAGCACAACAGGAGCCTTTTTGAAACATGAAATAAAGACGTTTATGCCTCCAGTTGCACAACTACACTGGTAGAAGATGGCAGACAATGAAAGAAGAAAAGCACCTGTAGTGCAAAATCTCACAACACTGGGAAATCATAGCCATATCAGCCATCAAAGAACAAATGTCAGACTTCTGTATGATGCTTCTCACTGTTGTAACTGACCTACAGTAATCTCATTTTTGTTATGCAATGCCAGATTGAAAGGTGAGAAAATTTGTCCATAGGGTTTTAAATCTTCCAACAAGTAATATAAGAGCACATCTGCAAATGATAGTATTGATTTTTCTTTCTGCATGTTACAAGAAAAAAAGTAAGGGACAAGCCTTTCTGGTATTAAATTCTCCACCAGATTTCATGCTTACAGCTTCCAATGGGGTGATAGCCAAAGTAAACCAGAGTCCTGAGCTTATAGATTTTTCAGTACATTTGATACTCACTTTAAGTTAAGTGGATATTTTTCAGCTGGAACCTATCAAATTACCCAAGCCACAGAGATTTCTTGGCCCAATTCACCTTTCAACCTTGTTTCCAACACTTTAGCTTGTAATTTTAGACATGTATTTAAAAGGAAGTAGGACACTTACCACCCCTCCTTTCTGATTTAGCCACATCCTTCATTGCCTTCAGTATTTCTCAAATTTGTCTGGATGGAAACCCCTTACATTAAGTTAACATTTTGCATTATCCCCTTGCATTAAAAAAACATCAATGATAAGTGATTTAGTGTATCTGTATGTTTAATGGAGCTGACTGAATACTGACTCTGAAGAGTGTGCAAGTACTGAGCAACATTTTCCTTCCTTTATTGTCATTAAATTCTCAGTGCATCATGACTCCTTGATTGCTTTTCTTAACACCCCCCTGCTCGGTTGAGAAACTGATGTAATTTATTCGCTGTAAGGGCTCATGTTATCCAAGGCAGGGTATGAAACTTACATTTTTAGGAACACCAACAAAAGTATTGGCTACTATTTTAATATTGGCATTACAAAGACTCTAGTGGTTTATTAGTACTATAGTAGAAGATATTAGTGAGTAGGGCCAGAATCTACAGATTTTTTTCTTTACAATCCTATCTGAGAAGAACACATTACAGGTAAGTGCCATACCAAATTCCCCCTCTCCCCGATCTTATAAATTAAGATCTTCTTAATCAGTAAAGAAAGTGACATTGTACCGGATAATAAAAAATGCAGAGCATGAAGGTACATGGCATTGGAGCAATTTCAGACACCAGGAACCCATGGCTATCTTGTAAAATTGTCTCAGAACGGTTGTGTTTATCTTGGATGCATAAAACAGTTCTGCTGTACTTCAGATTTTGGATTTGCTGAATACTCGAAACTATACTGGAGATAAGGTTTTTCTGTTTCCTAATGCCCCCACCCATCTAGGTTGGACCCAAACTGCAAGCCTGCTTCTATATCCATCAGATATCTGTATAGTCTGAACCTCAGCCTGTCAATGTATTTTCACAATGTGCATTTCATCAACTGAGAATTGAGCTTGCATGCATGCTCTCCAGCCATTTGCCATTAAAACCCCCCTGAGTTATGGGGGAAAAAAAAAACACCCATGGAAATCAGTCTTTCAAAAGCTAAATGCAAAAGAACAGCTGTGAGCTGCAGGTTAAAAGTGTGATGTGGTGGATATTAGCCAGAGACAGGGGACCTGACAGATATCAGAGGCAATGTAAGCATGTGTATTCTCATTTCAATTGGCTACGCTCCCTATGGGCTGTTAGGAAGATAGCTAAAAATAACATGACATCAGGTAAAAAGTTTAATAGGCCATTAAAGGACCTGTAAAATGACTACCAAGCTATTTATTAAAATATTGTTTAGATATTTTAAATGAGTTTCTCAGCATAATGACCTATTTTTTTTTTAAAGGATCTGAGATATGAATGAAATTTTCCTGGACATGTTGTCTCTTGAAAAGTAACTAATCTGGGTAAAAAGCACATTAAGAAAATGTAAGCATCTCCTATAATGACAAACGATAAGGTTTCAACAGAAGAGCCAAGAGTATGCATCAATAGCAGAAACACAAATGGCGCAATAATATTAGCAGAAAGTTGAGCCTATCCTTGAATAGTCTAAATCAAATAACTCCCAAGGTCATTCCTACAAGAGATATGAAACAGGTAGAATCAAAACCTCTAAGTGTTTTTAGACTGCCATACCTGCAAAACATTCAACTCTTGGATTATGCTGTACTGAATTAAGCAAGGATAACAGAGCAAGCTAAAATTGCAAAATTTAGATGAGACACTTTTAAGTTCACAAAAATGCAGACCCAAGGAATGAAATGGAAAACTCAAATTTTTCAAATGAGGTCCAGTTTTATACATTGGGCTATCAAGAAGTTTCATCTCTAGGTTCTCAGAATTAGCCAGTTCTGTAACTACCCCCCCACACACATTTTGAAGATATTTTAGGCAATTAAAAAAAAACCCACTAGCATTTATGGTTCTGAATTAAAATAAAACACTGCACATCAAATATGTTTAAGATGTTTATTTTACAACAAAATTTTCCATATCAAGAGAGCATCTTCAGTCAGAAATTCCTGGAAAAGAAAACCAAACAAAATTGTTATAAAATCATAATTGTTTCAGCAGCTTTAATAAATATTTTTGTGAAGCATCTTAAACTGCCTGTAAACCCAGAATATGTGTTTTCATCAAGACCTAGAACTTAGGAACCTGGAAAGGAAATCACACTAATAGCCTCTGGAAAAATGATATAAACATACTTACTTGGAAACAATCCCATCATTTTTCGCCAGACGCAGAATAGAGTCATCAGATTCACCCTTAAAATACAAAAATATGGAGTTCTGAAACATGGTCTATAACCACTAGCTTCTTATTTTTAAATGCAAAATGAGAGCTGTGAGGGGCTCAGCTATTTAAAGGCATTTTTGGAAGCATCCAAAGCTTAGAGATCTATAAATCGGTTGGTGTAATACTATTTGTGTGAACTATCTTTTCCAAACAAAAAAACATTCATCATATTCTTGGCCATGCTGCAGTACCAGAAACTATTTTTAACTTCACACATTATGTCATTTGATGCTCAATACTGTATCCAGCTAGTACAGGGTTTCCCAACCTATGGGTCGGGACCCAAATATGGGTCGCCATTACCAGGGCTTGACAAACAGCGGCGAAAACCACTTGCCAGTTGCGCATGCGGCCGGTAAACAGGGCGCACGGCTGAAATCTACTCGCCTCAGACGAGTAGATTCTATAGTTTGTCGAGCCGTGGCCATTACATTTCAAAAGGGTTTCCAAGTGTCTCCCCAGGTGGCTCTGTCCTCCCTTCTCCCCCTGTTTTTGAATTGCCTTGGGTCACCAACTCGTCAAAATGGGTCCCCATCTGGAAAAGATTGGGAACTGCTGAGTTAGTACAAACTAGGGATGTGAATGACTACAGGCAGTCCCCGGGTTACGTACAAGATAGGGACTGTAGGTTTGTTCTTAAGTTGAATCTGTATGTAAGTCGGAACTGGCGTCCAGATTCAGCTGCTGCTGAAACTGATCAGTTTCAACAGCGGCTGAATCTGG